AAGTAAATGTATTCAGGGCTGTATAATACTTATTATCCAAATCTTTTCAGGACTTCATTTTTAAAATGAATTGCATCCATTGTTTTTTTTTTTGTCAATGTTGAAATAAATATATCTAAATTTTTTTTTGAATGGCTGGAATATTGAGAATAAATTAAATAAAAATTGTAATACAAACGGTCTGTTTTTCTCGCATTTCCGGTTTGAAAAACTACCAATCGATTTTTCTCGCTTTTCCGTTGGAAATATCGAAAAAATAAAAAAAATTGAGCTGGGTATGTTATCCCCATATGTGCTCAACACCCAGAACACTTTGGACCAGGTTGGGTCCACCTGCTCCTCAAGATTCACTTCCAGCCATGTTATCAAAATACTCCCGATCGATCCACTGAGGAAAATCGAAATTTATCTCGAAAAAACATGTGATAAACCTATCTATTTACAACAGTCCGAAGTGGAGCGACCAATTTTTTTTTTCATTTTTTTTAATCAACTTTTCTGGGTCAGTTTTTTACGCAGATTATGTGGTTTTACAAAATCAAATTTTTGAATGGAAAATGAGTCGAAACTTAATTTGGACCACCCTGTATATATAAAAAATCATCCAGAGCTACGAATGTAGATTTGGCCGTCTTTCGAAAAGCACTTATTGCACTAAAATGTACAACTTGTGTACAGCAATTATGACAATTATGTACCAACATTTATAAGAAATGCAAGCAAATTTCATTCATTGCAAACGGAAATCAATTAAATTTCTTGCGCGTTTTGCTAAAAAAACAACGAAATGTTCAATATAAATGACATAAATTCTTATTCCGATCTCTATGTTGTAAAACAGAGCCTTTATTTCGTTGAACCGTGTTCATGTTGTCCATTTTGGTAACTTTTTCAAGAGAGATGTATACTAGATATACTATAGTGATGTTCTGTGAGTAAATAAAAAAACGCTCTATAAGTGAAGGGTGAAATTCATTACTCCTTTTCACAACTATGCGAATTATTTGGGAAATGAATCTCGAACAAATAAGGTAGATAAAAAAAACATTTGAAAAGTTGGAATTTTAATTCAGAACACACATTTTCAACTTTTCTGGAATTATTTCATTTGATGTTATTTCATAATTTACCAGTGATGGTTTTTTCCTATCTGAATAGCGCTAGCTATTCGCAGCGCCTGTACAGCATTGCTGCCCAGATGCTGAATCGTAGCGGTTGCCGCACGCGCAACACACTTCGTTTGTACCACACAGAGCATATACGTTCGCGTTCGTTCTCTGTTCGACATGCGTTTGTATACTGACTATGGTATTAGTGTATCATACTCTGTGTGCTCACTGGTTACTTAGACTATATGATAATATGTTTTGTGATACAAAACGCGTGCGGCAACCGCTTCGATTCAGCATCTGGGCAGCAATGCTGTTCAGACGCTGCGAATAGCTAGCGCTTTTCAGATAGGAAAAAACCATCACTGCCTATAACCACTCTGGCTTCGAATTACCTTTTACATCCTTTTCATTTTTTGGTTTCTTTGGTTTGTCGGGGGTTTTTCCAATTATCTCCTCTCTGTCCCTGCCACAGAGAGTGGCATCAACGTTATTATCAAAAAGCTGTTAAAACAGATAGAAAACCATTTTTTCCACATTTTTTTTTGTTTAAGTCTAAAAAAACATTATTTCTGGAGAAAAATTGTTAAACTTTAAAACAGAAGGACCAACTTTAATTAATTCATACTCCTCTTATTGCGCGCCTTGTATTGCTTACACTGGATGATGCAAACAAATTTGTTTTTTACAATATAATGACTTGCTCACAGCAATTTGCTTTATGCTAAATGTGTTTGCCACACAATAGAGGTGGATTATAAATAATTAATTTTTGTAACGTTGGATTTTGTCAACGAACAATGTGAAAAACTAATCGAAATCGTGTGTCTCTTTGAATCTTCAATTCTAGTGTGACTCGCACAAATAACCACAAATCGCACTTGTACTTGATTAAATGATTGCGACTGAAAAACTTAACGAATGAATGATTCTTTAAAAAAAAAATTACGTCTATCATGGCTTTAATACGAATATTACTGCGATGCATTACCTCGCCAATCACGAGCCCACAGAATAACAAAGCGAACACTTTGCGATGGAACATTTTTTGTCGTTGAATCGAACAGAACAAATGACAATTCGTTTTTAATTCTTCAAAGTTTGTTTAAATTTCGACACTACTAAATAGACAATGAAAACCTTCATCGAATCGAATTCCTTTTATATATTTCCAATTTATGCAAAACATTTTAATTATGCAAAATTATAAATTTTATAACGCTACGTAATTTATAATAATTTTATATTTTAACATCTGCAACCATAAGGAATAATTGAAATTCATTGAAATGATGGTTCGACGAGAAAAAATGCAAATGACTGTGTCTAGAAATGAGAATTGGTAATCGGCTCTGTTTTTCATGACAATTGATCATTTTAACTTGTGAAATACACCTGAGAACCCATAGCTCGATGTCGCAAAAATGGAAATATTGAGATATTTCAAAAAAATTGCATTTTCAAAGTGCCAGAGACATTGCACTTTTAGAGCGAAGTCGAATATATTTTAAACAATTGTAAATATAAATAATAATTATGAAAAAGCATCCACTACTCGCTCTCAGGGAAAAAAACCTTTGAAGTATACGGGAAATTCCGAAAAACCCCGTAACAGTTTTGTGATATTTTCATTAGGTATCTAACAAAATTGAACTAATTTTCGATATTCAAATCCATGGTTTTCAATATGCACTCAAGGTGAATCGAAAATAAAGTGCTATCAATATCTAAGGCACAACACACTGAACCTTACAAAAGAATACCAATGTAGAGTGCATTTTTGCGTATTAGTGTAAACCAGAGACTGTTTCTCTGACCAATATATGTGAGTAGCACTCTGAGGACCCGGAGAAGCACTGAGAAGCAGAGCTCTTCCCTGATGAAGAATAAAATATTAAAAGTTACCGAGGAGGAGCTCTGATTCTCAGTACTCCTCCGGCTCTACAGAGCGCTTATCCTCACCTATCCTATATATTGTTCAGAGAAACATTATCTGGTTTAAAAATCAAAACTCGCACTTCTATCTGACTAACATTTTGCATAAAATACATTAAATGTGACCGCAGGTTACACAATTAATAAAAAAAACCGTTAAAAATTAATTTCAATTTATTTAATATTTGTTGTGAATGAAAATTAAAAACCAGCGAATTAAAGTGAAATTAGTTTTTTCTTTGCAAATGAATCTATGCGGTTTTGAATCAAATTGGACTACTCCATCCAGCAATTTAAGTTCGTCTGTTGTAAATTGTTCATCTGATAAGTTTTTAACAAAATCTGGAATCATCTCAACTGATTTATAGTACTTTTTGTTCTTTGAAAAATTACTATTTTTATTCAACCGATCGAATTTACTGATTAATTTCTCCTTCTTAATTTTGAACTTATGTCATTCCAATGACAGAAGATCGGTTTAACAATGAAATTCAACGCATTAAAAAAATTGCATACATCAACGGATACACTGAACAATGGGTTAATGACCTTTGGACTTCACATCAGCGCAAAAAACAGCTACGCGAACTACGCGAACATACAACTTTAAGTTTGATTGGTGACGATGTTGGGGATATTGATAGTTTTTGGGCAAGATTCAACTACCATCATGAACTTTCAAAAGAACTCAAAC